TTGAAAAATTATCTACTTTAAACTCTTAGAATTTCGAGCATTTAAAATTTCAAATACAAAGAATTCATTTGGGTATTTTGATACCTGAAAAAGAAAATGAAATCGAATAATTGAAATTAGATAAAATAATTAAACTGTAAAATTACATTGTATATATTTTAGAAGCAGTCGTCATCAAGCTATGGCAGTTCGAACAATCTCGCCCTGGATTACGATCTTTTCAATCCAGATCGGAAATCTCAACAATCGTCGGACAGTGAAAAAGTGTTGGTCGTTAGTGCCAGAGACACGCAGGGTCGTTTGGTGTACGTTGGCGGCGCAGACAGGAATAAGAAATGTCATTCCCATTCTTCCAGTCGATCTGGAGCGCATCACGAAGCCCTTTCCATCAAGAAAAGCGCGGAAATCGCGGCAGTCTTCGGGGCTGATTCGAATAGGATCAGTAGACGAGCTAGTAATGCCTCCAGCATTAAGAGTTCCATTAGTCTCGAGGCTGGACTAGGATATTTACCATGATGATTCTTAATGTTAATTCTTCCTATTTGATCTAATCGAAATGTTTTAAAGATATAAAATATTTTTTTAAGTTATGGAGAAATCGAAAATTAATAAATTGATAATTAACAAATGGCAATGATGTAATTTTAAATAGGAAGATGCCAAAGAGATTAAAAAATGAATTTATGGAAAGAATTTTTTATCTATATGTATAATTATACATTATATATATGCATATATAAGTTATTTTTTTATTTTTATTAAGAAACACCAGTTAGCAAAAAGGTGTAAATATTGTATTACATACTTGACTTAAATGGAAATATTTAGAAAGAAATAAATAAAAGATATTAAATTATATATTACAAAAATGTAAATGCTAGTGATACTATTATATGTTCTATTTTTATTATTATGAATATTTGTTTTATTAGAAATATATTTGAAACCATTTGAAACGTGTATTAAGCTTTTACACAATTTAATTCGAAAAAATCGATAATGATAAATGCTCCAATATATCGTTATATACATATATATATATAGTTATTAATTAATAACAATACTAGTGATTTACATTTAATTCGGAGAAATATACCATACATTTGAAATATATCAGTCTTTAATATAACAGTAATGGTATTATATTCTCATTTTTGCGAGACTTGATCTCAGCAAGAATTATTTTGAGTCGAGTAAATTAAAATCATATTACTGTTTGCATTAAAAAGAAATGTAATAAAATAAATGCAAAAGAAAAAAGTAAATATTACACAAATTTATTATTTTAATAACATGCAAATATTTTACGAATATCTATTACCTGTTTTTCTTCATTTTTATAATTGTTTGAAATATGTATATAAAAAAATTAATTTTATTAAAATTTAGTCTATTTTTATTTATAATTTGTGATTATTTAAATATGTGATTATTTGTTTGTTCAAATTTTTTAATTCGTCCAATAGTTACATAAGATCTGATAATTTAACTAAAAATAAAAACAATTGATACAAGGGAATAGTGCAATATCACGCGTAATCTCGTTTTTTACGAGATAAATTGTTATTTTATATTTATAATATGTACATTTTGTGCAATGTATATGAAATAATTCGTATTATTGTACCAATATCATCATGTACTATTAATAAAGTCTTGATCCATTTTATAAAATTTCTCTGAGTATTCTATTGGAATCTCTATATTTTTTAAATTATCCAAACCTATTTCTTCTTCGGTTCTAAAATTTACGTAATATTTATTATTATATATGAAACAAAAAAAAAAAAGAGAAAGAATCAAGATCTTCGTACCTAATCAAAATATCTACAACATTTTCACAACTTAACAATGCATTTTTATTTTGCTCCCATTTATGATATTCTCTGAGTATGATGTACGTATTTTGCGCTCTCAATATTTCTCGGCCCCTTTTTGTTGCACATAGTTGAGCTAAAGCTTCTAGTAGCATAATCCTAAAATAATTAAAAAATAAAAATTTCTAAAAAAAAAAAAAATAAAAAATTTTAATACCTAATATCCAAATCTGGTTCTCTCTGCTTTGTTTCTGGTAAGTATTGCAAACTAACTGGCAATTTATCATTATCATCATCATCAAATTCTTCTGGTCCAGCCAATGGTAATAAAAGATACGATAAAATATCTACTTCAGGACTTAACAACCATTCATGATTTTCTACATCAAAACAACAGTTTTTCAAGGTGCCAACAATTCCACCCCGTCTTATTATACTATCTGTATATTCTGTGAAAGGAAGCAATCTCTGAATGACATTACGATCTCTGTCCATTAAATACCTATATTGTAAAATAAAATAAAATTAAGATAAATAAAATTGATAATTAAATAAAAATAGAAAGATTAATTGATAACTTACCTTCTTACACGTGAAGATTGACTGAGGTTGCTGAAAACAGGTCCTAAATAATGAAGTTTGGCACCAACATTATTATATTGTTTAGCAGTAAATGCTGTCACAATACTGTCCCAAGTATAATCACTATTTTCAAAAAGTGTTATAATTCTATCCAATAAATGCAATGGTCTGGTCATATTGGAAAGAATCATACAACATGGATCTGCTAAAATACTTTCTTTGTCCATTATAAATCTATAAAAAAAATTAACAAAAATATTTATAAAAATAAAAAAAATATTATTTGATTTAGTTAATGATATACCTAATACAAACATGAATTAAATTGTAATTATATTTTTCATTCTTTGGTTGAGTTTCTGAAATTAATAAAAATGCATTTGTTCCTAGTTCATCTGCAGTTATATTTATTAAAGCTAGAGTTGCATCTTTTGAAATTGCAGTAGAAAAATCTTGAGTCAAGACAATTAATTGTACTAATAAATCTGGAAGTTTTAATAACAATTCTCGTCCTTCAATAGTGCCTGTTATACCTGTAATATGATAATTATTATGATGGAAATTAATAAAATTAAGAGGTTAAAATAAAAACTGAAATAATAAAACATTTTTTAATAATAAATACTCACTGAGAATATGTTCTAAAGCGGTAGCTTTTAGATCTAATCGCGTATTTGGATTTAAATATTGCAATATTTCTTGAAGAGATTCCATTATAAATCAATAAAATAAAATAATCAAGATATATACACGATCACAAATGAATTATACACAATAAACTTGAGTTTCTGGAAAAAATCTGATTATTAGAATAAAAATTGACAAATTAACGCCATCTTCAGAGCCGTAAATAAAACATATATAGACAAGGAGAATAAATAATAAGACAAAGATAGAGATAAGATAAAAATATTGAAATCAGCGCCATCTTCAGAGTGCCACAAATGAAACTCACAAAGAAAGGACGGAAAATGATAAGACAAAGATAGAGATAGATTAAGAATTAGCTGCTGGCACCATCTCTGGTTGCTTCTAGAAAGATGATTCATTGATGGGATATCGATAGTGCAAGAGAACGGTCTAATGGCGCTAACGGTCAATTCTTAATCTATTTCTATCTTTGTCTTATTATTTTCCATCCTTTTTTTTGTGAGTTTCATTTGCGGCACTCTGAAGATGGCGCTGATTTCAATATTTTTATCATATCTCTGTCCTTCTCTTGTTATTTGTTCTCTTTGTCTATACATGTTTCATCATTTTAAAGATAGTCAATTCCAATATTTTTATTCCATGATTCTTAAATTTTTATAAATTTTTATAATATGAAAAAAATTATATGTTATATCTATTCTACATTTTATTTGTATATATATTTTTAGCAAATGACAAATTAAAAATTCAATAACATTGAATATGTTTAATTAAATATTTGTAATTTATTGTTTTGGTATTTTTACAATATAACATTTTTTAAATGAAATTGATAATAATTTAACTAAAATTTTCAAAATTGTTTTATGTTTCGTAGAATAATATAAAACAATAATTAACTATTGTTACATGAAATATTTTATACATATAACATAATATATAAATTTTCATTTTATTTAAAGATTTTATCACATCAATATATTATCATCCATATAATATGACTAGTATTAGAATTAATTATATATGAGGTAGAAATTATTTGAATATTTACACGTTTGTTAATTATACAAATTATAAATTATTTGATACAAAGCTTTGTTTTTTGGATATTTGCAATTCATGTTAGAGTACTGTGCTACTATGCTATTAAAGCAATATAATCATTTATGAAAGTTAATTAAAGAAAAAAATATAATGTCTTTGTATGCTATTAAATAAAATAAATATTAAATTAAATAATCTTACTAAATTCTCATTTAGTATATTCATTTTAAGCTATGTTTACTAATACATATATTATTTTATGCATATGTATAATCCTAAATTAAAAAAAGTGCACATTCATTGATGAACTTTGAAATTACATTTATGCGAAATAAACTATTTTTTAGCAAAAATTAATATATGTATTTGTATATAATATTGTATATAATGTTTATTCATTATATCAATATCATTAAAGAATAAATAGAATATTTTACATAATTGAACTACAAGATTGTTTTAAATATTTTTTCGACAACAAAATATAAAAATGGCTAACCCAAATCGGGAAGCTATAAATAAGCACTACTTAAGTAAAAGTTACTTAAGTTTAGAATAAAGTTCTTTTTATTCTAAAAACTCTTAGTTTTTAGAATGTCAATAGAAACACAATTATAATACAATAAAGTATTATTATAAAATAAACTTTCGTGTCTTAATTATAATATTATACATACTTTGCATATATCATAGATTTTTAAAATTTGTTAAATTTTAGATAAAAATTCTATATTTTTAATTTATATTTGCACGAAGAATTGTCTATTGTCTCCATTTTTTGTTCATTCATATTATTTTGATCATATACTGTATATGTAAGTACATCTGATTAATATAAAATGTTTAATAATGTCTATTTCTATAGTTTTATATATTGTGGAATGTGTATTAATTTGTGAGATATGATAATTTAAAAGTTTGACATTTTTCTTTTTAATGTAATCCAATCCATAATTTTTTGTTGAAGTCTTCTTTTTTGTAGTAAAACTTCAGCAGCTTTCTGAAATTTTTCTTCATTTCTGCGAATATACATTTTTGCATCTTGTTCTAATTGACTGATTTTCTCAGGACGTATTTCTACCATTGATAACATCTCCGTCAAATATGGATTAAAACGAAAATAAACATATTCTGGTAAGAGGTCGTTCAACATCGTATGTACAGCTGCACAATGCATCGTTATTAATATTTAAGTACATTCAATATGATGCAACAAAATAAATATTTCAAAAAATAATCCTAATACCTTCTGTATCAGTTGCACTATCTAAAATTTTATAAAATTTTTCTTTCCAACTTGAAATCGCAATTTCCGCAGATTTTTTGCTATTTCCACAAATTTGACTTGGCGTTCTTCCAGTTCCAAATGAAATCACGCATTGAATTGGACTATTTGGCCATAATTGTTTAGCTTCATGTAATGCAACTGCACAGGGATTATTTACCAAAATACCTATAAAATTAAAATATTATTTAAATAAATTATTTAATAAATTTTTAATATCAATATTATATAATATTATAATATCTATACCTCCATCTTGATGAAGATATTCACCACATTTAAATTCTTCAAAATAACTAGGTGCTGCAGCAGATGCTCTAATAGCTTCCCATAATTTATGTTTATGAGATCCTATATATAAACTTTCGACTCTATGAGGTAAAGTATAATTTCGAAATACATAAGCCATTACGCGTTCATGATTTACTATAGCAGATATAGCTGAAAACTAAAAAATTTTTGCATTAAAGTTAACAAATATGAATTTTTAATATTTTCATTTTAATCATCATATTTTACTTATAAATAGAAAATAATAAATACTTTTGGAGAAGTAGAATCGCGAGTAGTTTTTATAAGAATTTTTTCTCCTAAATGTTCTTTCAATAATTTTTCCCAAAGAGCTGTATCATAATATCCATGGCTCCATACCAAATTGCTTGTACCTTTTATAGCACTTTGAGTAAATACTTTGGTACTTAGTTCTTTGTATAATTCTGATATTTCATATAATGATTTTCGTTTATGTCCACCTATAAATAATGTTATTATTAAAATGTTAAGATTCATAATTTCACTATAGTAAATTATAGTAAATTAAATTACTTATATAATTAACTTTTAAATATTATATTATACAAATATTATACATTATATATACAATATTAGTATATATATATACATACCTAAAACAGCAGCAAGAATAGCTCCTGTACTTACACCACATATATAATCAAACATTTCATAAGTTTTTTTGCCCGTTAGTTTCTCAAGTTTTTTTAACATTTCTATAACTAATACTCCACGCATACCTCCACCATCAATAGAAAGAATTCTAATACCTCTGCCAGGCAATGGATCAGTATAACCTAATACTGTTAATGCTTCTCTTATAGGTGCTGAAATTTCAAAACAAAATTTAAAATGTTAAAAATGTTATTTATATATTCTCTCTCTCTCTCTTTTTCTCTCTCTTTCTTATTAAAAATATTTTTAAATTATTTTATACCTCTTATTTGTTCATCCTTAATTCTTTGTCGAGTTTTAAGCAATATTTTAATTGCTCCTTCCTTAATAGCATAATGCCTAGCTTCTGAATATTGATCAATATGTAATAATAAATCTTCAATTCTCCTCAAACATGAAGCATTTGATTCAGCAGTTGCAATAGCATTCAAAACATGACGTGTTCTAGATGCAATACTATGTTTTGGTATATTTTTATGAAGATTTATTTTCCATTTTGGTGATACAACTAATCCAGCTGTTTTATTTTGAGCAGAATTAAATATTAATGCATTAAGAAATTGAGAAAGAGATTGGGATCCTATTTTAGCTTGAAATTTATTCTCACTTGTGGTATCTTCATGAGTTTGCTATAAAAGTTATTAAATATAAATAAGAAAATTATTTTGTAAAAAATTATTTGAATCTACATTATTTAAATTATTTGACTTACTTTTTTACATTCACTAGTATTGGTAATTGATGTCTTTTCTTCTGAAGTTTCTAATATTACATTTTTTTTTTCTTTTTCACTATTATTACATTTTTCTACATCTGATATTTTCGTATCATTTATGTTTTTTGAAAATTCAATTGGTGACAATTTTTTCAAAGTATTTATTTGCGAATATGTTACTTTTTGTAAAAAATCTAACCAATTTTTAGATAAAATAATTTGTAGACTTTTGTCATAACCAGATTTATATAAGAAATTTTTCAATTGCATTAAAAGTTTTGTATGATTTTGCATAGACATTTTCATTTTCCATAAAGAAGCATTTTTTATACGATTTAACAATTTATTTTTATTAACACTTCCACTATAACCTTTATCCGCAGCACTATCTGTCAATTGTCTAAAAATACAAAGTACACGTTCATCATTCCATACTTTTTACTTCTATTGAAATAAGAAATCATTAAATTTAAATTTTAAAAAAATTTTGCATTTATCTTATACAAATATTTTATTTTATCTTATAAAAATATAAATAATCTACAACAATATTTAAAATATTATAAGCATAATTATAATAAATAAGTTTCTATCCAAACACTCTTATATTAAATATGATTGTGTAAATATAAGAAAAATAATTAATGAAATTAAGATTAATTAAATTCGTAAATATGTATATTATATATTATATTAAATGTTTGTTAATATTTGCTTATTTTGCATCGACTATTCCCGAACAAAGTTTATTCGAAGTGTAACTATTATTAATTCAAACGTAAGCTCAATATATATATACGTATATGTCCATAATGTTATATTTAACATATGCTTTTATATATATGTCAAATATTTAATTAATTAATTAGAAATTAATTTAGAGATAATTATAAAAAAAGGACAATTATAAAAAACAAAGATTATAAGAAAATACATTATTTAGTTTTTTAACGTTAGTTTTTTGTAAGATTTCATTGAAAATTAAAGAATTCAATAAAAATTAATATAATATGTTTAACTTTTTAAACAGATATAAAAAAATTACAATTTTTTATCAAAGAATGACATACAAAATTGGGATAATAATAGAATATTTTATTATATTATCGTTTACCTCGATAAAAAGATAAATCTTTGACATTTAATACTTGTATTTCGCGTCATTATTTATTTTATTTTATTTTTTGCACTTTTTATATCAATATAAAAATATTGCGAGATAAATTAATTAAATGAATTATGAAAAATTAGTGACAATTTTTTAAAGTGTCTGTAATAGTTTTAGTTTTTAATTGATTTTCACTATATTTTATAGATTATTTAAAGATAATTATTAAGATAATAATTAAGATAATAATTAATATTATTTTTTTTCGTCTTCGATTTTACTTTGTTGTACTTTGTGATACAAAGTACTTATACAGGTACTAAATTATCTCGAACACTAAATACACACTAATCTAAATACCTTTGATTCAGCTTTTATAAAAGAACTGATGACGTAGTTGACAACATTCATTTTGTAAATAAAATCACTCTTCCACCAATGAGATTTGTGGGTAACTGTGTATAAGATACTACTTTAGTAGGTAATATGATTAGAACAAGTGTCGTATATTAATATTAACTATATTGTTTACATCTTTTGTATCATCATTTTCATTGCATGCAAACATATTAATAACATTTATATATGTATATATATATATAGATTGAAAATAAAGAATTAAAAATAAAATATTTTTTCTTTTAGGAATGTAAATATTTATATGTTTTACTCATTAATTAAAATTTCTTCATTTCTAAGAAATGTTTTAAATTATTATTTCTATATTTATTTCCTTTGTTATACTATATTTCATTATTATAATAAAAAAAAAAATTATAAATTATTTAATCCTGATACATATACCAGATAAATTTTTCTTCCTTTATATATGAACATATACACAAAAATTTTGAATCTAAACTTTTTTTAGGTTATATTATATTATTTCTGAAATATGTGAATATAATGTGACTAACGATATATCATATCAAAGAAAGTTTTATAGAATATTCGCGATAATTTAAAAGTAGATTTACAGCTATGAAATGACTTTAAGAAAAAGTATAGATAAAGAAATTAAATAGTGGGAAAAGGATAGAGATAAAGTAAAAATTGTGGAATCAACGCCATCTTCAGAGTGTCGCAAATGAAACTCACAAAGAAAGGACGGAAAATAATAAGACAAAGATAGATATAGATTAAGAATTGACCGTTAACGCTATCTTTCGTACACTATCGATATCTCTTCAAATAATCATCTTTCTAGAAACATCGAAAGATCACGCTGGTAATCAGTTCTTACTTATCGCTGGCGCCATCTCTCCTGCACTATCGGTATCCCATCAATGAATCACTTTTCTAGAAGCAACCAGAGATGGCGCCAGCAACCAATTCTTGATCTATCTCTATCTCTGTCTTATCATTTTCCGTCCTTTCTTTGTGAGTTTCATTTGCGGCACTCTGAAGATGGCGCTGATTTCAATATTTTTACTCTATCTCTGTCTTTATCTTATTATTAGCTCTTCTTGTCTCTCTCTATACTTTTGCGCGGATTATAAATGTATATCCATTGAACATACTTTCATTTTTTTAAATATATATATATAGCATTTTAAATTCAATGTTTAATAAATTATTTTAATTTATTTTCAAATAAAATACATCTTTATTCTTATATTAAATAACAAAATATTTTATAAAATTTTTTATTTTATAGAATTGTTGGAATTTAATATTTTAATAATCAAATATATAAAAAATATTTATTTCAAGAATTTTATTTTAATAATATTAAATTGCGACATAAATTTTATTGTAAATTTCATATAAAAATTTTAACTATATTAATTAACTATATTAATAAAGACAAACAAATTTTATCAAAATTTATAATCAGATCTATAGATTGTTCAGTAACATTGTGTTTTTCAAGGTCAGCGTTGCAAGTAAGGAGATGCATCGATTATGCATTCGTGACCCTTATTCCACTCCAAGCAAAGATGATGAGGTTAATCGAAAGAAGAAAGACTATTGCCGGTCATATCGGATTAATTTTATGTAGAAATTGCATCAAACTTCCTTCGTATTCCGAGAGTTGTAGTTATTTAACGCGGAGATACATTCGTTCTCGGTTCATTAATGTAACCTTGTAACGAATTTCAAAGACTTTGCGTGGGATGATAAAAAAATTTTCGAAACGTGCTGGGATATATTGGAACACGCTAGTACTGATATTTTTAAAGATTTAAGAAGATGAATTTCTATGAATGTTTAAAGATATTAAAATTGATTCGAAATTATTTTTTTTTCTTTTCACTAATTTTGAACTGGAACTGGAAAATCAGATTAGTATAATATAAGTTTATTTTTTTTAAAATTAGTTATATATACCGAAGATATTTATAAAATATTTTGAAGGATTGATTTTAAAGATTAAAATAAATAGAAAGGTTTGTACAAAAATTACTCGTTCACTTAATTTTACTAGAGATAAAACGTGATGGAGATTTTTAATCGCTTCATCTAGAATAAAAATTAAATCGCACAATAAAAAAATATTTGTATTATATTTATAATATTATTGATATATTATTAATAGAATATCATATCCATCATTTTAATTCATGATTATATTCGTTGAATTTTTATGATCGATGTAGAAATAATTCTCGTACGAAATCTATTATTGTAAACTTTTACATTTGTGAACCATTATATATTGTAGAAATATTTCTTTTTTAATTTTATCCTTTACGTTCATATTCAGTTAATCCAAAAATATTCGATTCACTTTTATTATTTTTAATTCAACAAAGGAATTCTTGATTAAAAATTTAATTAACAAGAAAAAATATACCAAATCCTATATAAAATAATTCTTTTTTTAATAAGAGTTAACACGTTCAAAGAAAATTAGAAAAATGATGAAAATACGGGTATGATGTATTTCTTTTCTCCGAGTTGTGTTTCAATGTTTCCCTCCTTAATGATACATATTTCACACCCAACTATGAAAGCATTCGTGTTTTCTGTCCTAGTTGACCGTTGTTAAGGGGATTATTAGTGGTGTGCAACGTTTAAGCTGAAAATTATAGTCATCTTTGTTTGTGAATCTGAGAATTATTTTAGCAGAATTTTGTCTTCTGTGTTCGTGACGTCTTCTTTGTTAAATGTGAAATAGATTATTACTACTTTTTTGTTCGAACAACGTCATAATGCTTCCTTACTCTTGTTTGCAATTATTATACAGAACGCTTATGATCCTCTTTTTAATTCTTGATTAACTAATAAAATTTTCATTGAAAATATTTATGTTATTATTCAATATTTATTTATAAATTATTATATTATAAATTTCTATATTTCTATGAAATCGTATTCATTTTTAAATTTTATAAAATTATCATACATTCACAAATCGTTCTTTTTCTTTCTTTCAGTTTATCTTTTTCTTTCTTTTTAAGTTTGTATTTGTTTTTCACAATAATTTTTATCATTTTCTCAATACAAAATTATAAATTAATTATATAATATTTCTATATTCATGTCAAACTGTTTATTTTAAGATTGAAAGTAAAAATTTTTAATAAAAGATTTTTACGGAAAGTTAAAAATTTGTTTAACATATTAAAATAACGGATATTCATCGATCATGATTTTATAATATTGCAAAATTGTAAACTGATATTTTGCAAGAAAACATTATCGATCATTTTGATAGGAAGCACAAGCATAATTTCTCATAACATGAATTTTAGTATACGCTATAGTTTACTTTCGTAAATCGATTTATCGAATCGTGCATGATACTGATTGATAAATTATGCGTGTCACTGAATTTTAATTCATCTACAAAAAAATTTATTTTAATTATTATATAGAATATTTCTTTCAAAAGGATGAAATAATATATTGTATTATAATATCAAACAAAATAATAAAATATCGATAAGAAATTAATACTCAAAATTGTTTCACATTTAATATTTTATTTTAATAAGATTCAATTTTTATAACTGTCTTTAGAAGATAAATTAAGTAAAATTATTGTTTAAATTGATAAAATTAAAAATTGTATAACATGAACGAAAGAAAATTAATATGTGTGCTCTATTTCAGTATAGATAAAAAAATACTTGAAAAAATTTTCACGACAAGTTGAAACTTTCATGTTTCGTCGAGGAAGTACAAGAAAGTTTTGAAAATTCCACAGGCGACGACACATTTCTCTGGCGAGAAGAGAAGAGATCGTGGTAAAAGTTTGATGAGCTTGCTACGAAAGTAACTCGTAGTTAGCTTGAGGCCATGGAAGAATAAGTGACAAACTACACGATTTTTATTTAAAGAAAATTCATGGCGAAATTTTACCATGATAGAATTAAAAAACACTCGTGTAATTATGGATGATTTCTTGTAATAATAATAAATATTATAGATATTTATACTTTATATTTACGAAATAAAAAAAACTTTCTCACAAAGAAACATTTTTATTTTATTTTTATTATTTTGTGAAATGAAGTTTGTGAAACAGCAAAAACAGTGTTTATAAAACAATTTTATAAACGATAATAAATTGGATGATTCTTTTTTTTTTCATATGTCTCGTTTTTCATATCTCATGTATGAATTGAAAAGTGTCAGTAATACAAGATAGTGATTAATCATACCGATTTTCCTTTTTCAAAAAGAAACGGCAAGTGAAAAACAAAATAATTTTTTCTTTTAATCTTTTCACACGTGTTCTCCGTTCGTGGATTTTTAAAATTGTTTCAAAGAAAAGCAGAGACATGAAATTGAAATTCTTTATTCTTCAAGTGATCTTTGGTTTTCTATTTTGACTTTGAAATGATGTTAATAATAAGTAATTAAAAATAAAATTGTATTATTGCTCTTTGTATTATTCGATTATTTTGATTAATTATTGATTAATTAAAGTTATTATTTAAAGTAACTTTATTTGAAATTTAATTAATTTAATTTTTTTATTAATTATTAATTAATTTTTCAATCTATTAATGCTCAAAGTTCTTTGATGTATTTTATGGGAACGATTAAGAGTAGATGAATCTTCTTCGTAAAAAAGAACAAATAATCGTCGAAAAAATTTCATTTCTCCAGCTTAATTCTAATTGTCTTTCTTCGAATAAATGAGTTGGTTAATTACGAGATTGATGAGATTTCTTTAGGCGGATACACAATTTTTCGGGAATAAAATTTATTTAAACTTTATTTAAAATTGTATTATTATTTATTTTAATAAATTGAAGGATTCGTAACAATAATGTGAAAATTTTATTTTTTATTTATTTTTTATTATTTATTACGATTTATTAAAAAAAAATAATAATAAATTTTTCAAAATTCTAGTTTAAGTTCATAGAATATTCATGTT